GGGGTGGGGCCATTTTGGCTCAAGGTTGCTGCCACTATGTTGTTTTCATGGTGGTGGTGGCTGCCCCTCGCGTGCAGCGATGTTTCCGGCCGTTGCGGCCGCGATGGCCATGGACAAGATCTCGGACATGACGGCCCATTTTCGAGTGGAGGAAGAGCTTTGGTCGGCCTTCACGCAGGAGGTGGGTGCCCCTGGAGACGATCCGCGCTTGCTTGCAGCGCTGCCGGGCAAATTGGTGGCTGCGGCTCTGAGTCAAGCCTCGTTGCCCGGGGGCCGACCGCTTTCTGCAATTCAGGCTGCACAAGTGGGACTGGTCTGGAAGCTGGCGAGGCGCATCATGTACACGAAGGGAGGGGGGCTATGGGAGGACTGGACCGAAGAGGACCCATGGGATGCACCCTCAACAACCTCACCATCGAAGCGGACTGCAACTTCATCCAAGAAGGACGACAAGGACACGAAGGAAAGGACCCTGAAGTTCACCCAGGTACTGGACCAAGGCGACGACGGCGAATTCGAAGTCCTCAACGAGGACGACAAATTGCTCCTCCTGCAGAAGTACATCAACACGACGGGGTCGATGCCGGAGGAAGAAGAGGAGCCGACGATAGAACAGTTGTCGGCGCTGAAGAAGAAGTTGAGCCTTGGGAAGCCACCCTATGCGGACTTTGGAGTATTCGTCCCTTTCGGACGGAAGGCATTGAGGGCTTCGAAGTACAGGACATGGGTGCCCACGGCGGATGGCTACATTTCGAAGGAATTGCCAGGTCCATCGAACTTCACTCAATGGCGGGCGTGCTACAGAGTATTCACCACGGCCATGATCATGTTGCAGGAATGCTCACTGGCGCCCTTGCATGGATACGAACTGTTCGTGGAGAAGATGGTTCGCCTGTACCCGGACGCCTGGCATTTGGTGTATGCGGCGGACGAGATGGCCAGGAGCGAACTGTTGTCGAGGCTACGCCTGAAGATCACCATGGGCACGAAGGAAGGCAAGGCACTTCCCCCGCACTACGACGAAAACAAACCATGGGAAGGGGTATTCAAATTGATCCCGAACGAACTGAAATTTTGGCAGGACCAGATTCATGGTCCAGCCCTGGCATGGTTAGCCAACGGAGCCAAAGGGAGAGCACAAACCCCTCAGGAGTCTATAGCCCAAGGGAACTTGCGTGGAGGAGCCGAAGCACTACTACCAGTGATGGAGTCAGGATCATTTGGGATGACTTCAACATCGGCACCGTCATCAAGTCGAAGGCAGGTCAACAGAGATCGAAAAGAAGCCAAGAAGAGGAAATGGCAGGCAGAAAGGGAAGAATTGCAAAGACTCCGAGAATCCAGAAACGATGGAGGTTTCGAAAGAAGGCAAGGAGGCAAGAGCGGAGGGAAGAAAGGAAGAGGGGGGAAACAGGTCGAATCGATCTGTTTCTCCTGGAACAACGGGAATTCGCCATGTGGGTCATTGCCGCCGGGTGCCGAGTGCGCGAACACGGTGAAGCGGATGCACAAGTGTTCATCCTGCGGGTCGCCAGGTCACCCGCAACACAAATGCGGAGCCAAGAAGTGAAGGGTGGCGAACATGGAGGCGAATCAGGAGGAAAAGATGAACAAGACGAAGGGGGCGAAAGACGGGAGGAGGAAGGAGGAAGCGGTGAAGGGGAGAGCAACGAAGCTGCCAGAAAGAAGCTAGAGGGCAAGTTGGCGGACTATGTGAGGAAGAGAAAGTTCCGCTTCCTTCACCACTATGCAGGACCGAGGGATCCTTTGGGCGCTGCGGTACATCGGAATGCAAGGAAAGCGGGCCTCAACGTGGAAGTCATCGCGGCAGAGAAGGACTGGGGACAGGACTTGTGTGATGACGAACCCTACAACACTCACCTTGGTTGGGCGAAGGAGGGATTGATTGACGGGTTCCATGCGGGCTTTCCTTGCTCCACGTATTCGCGGCTGAGGTTCAGGGAAGCACCAAACCTACCAGGACCTGTCAGAACCCGAGCCGAACCGTATGGGCGGAAGGTCAACACCCCGGAACAGCAGCGGGAGTGCGACAAAGGAACAGTGATGATGGCCCGCTCAGTTCAGCTGGCAGAGGAGATGGCCAAAGCTCCCACCTCCTCCATCGTGTGCAAGGCCACTTCGATGGAAAACCCGCCACCTTCGGACGTGGAGGACCACGTATCGGCTTGGGCCATGACGGAGATGGTGGGCTATCTGAGGTTGAGCGGAGTGAAGATCGCCCTGTTCAACACTTGCGCGTATCAAGCTGATCGGGCAAGAGGAGATCGACACTGGAAGCCACAGCAATTCGCAGGCACGCTCTACGGCATCGAGTCCTTGAACAGGGAGTGCAAATGCGGCAGCGCTAGGCACCGTCCGATCGTGGGGAAGAAGGAGTCTCAGGAGTCGGGAGAGTACCCACTGGAGCTGTGCGATGCCTATGCACGCCTGTTGATGGAGCACTTCCGGATGATGGCCGAGGCCGAGTACCTGGAGGGAAGGTTGAGGGAGGGCTCACAAGAACACGATGCGATGTCCACTTGCGACGCGGCTGCAACACAGATGAGGGAGAGGAGAAACCGAGAGGGCGTGAAGTTGTCGCCATCCCCTGAACTTCAACGCGATCGCCGAGGAGGACTTGAAGGTGGCGGGATAGTTGAAGCACCGACGACATCAAGAAGGGCCAGAGAAGAGGACGAGCGACAAAGGTACAGGGAGCGAGGGACAAGGACGTCGGCGGAGCGGAGGCGGTCGAGGTCAAGGAGTCGAAGGGGGCGAAGCAAAGACAGGAGGAGAGAAGTTGAAGCCGAAAGGAAGGCGAAAGGCCAAAAGTCAGGAGACATGAGATGGAAGCCCGGAGAAGGAAAGTATGGGATGCTGAGAGAGGAGGTGAAGAAGGAGCAAAAGCTTAACCAGCAGGACTTCGTGGGTGGCATGAAGAACCCGATGGAGACGGTAGAAGGACTACCACCCTTGCAGAACCTGGGAAGAAGGATCTTGGGAGCTTGGGAACGGCATTGCACGAAACACCCCCAGGCGGTGAAGGTGGGAGAGACTTACGGGACACCGGAGTGCGTGCTGGAATGGAGGTGGATTGAAAGGTGGAAGGAAGAGCTGAGGAAACTCACCGGGGCGAAGGGAGCAGCTAAGGTGAAGCTGACGGAGAAGTGGTCCTATGAGTCGCCGCTGGATTACAACCTCTTTGAAGCATGGGGCCGAAGAGCCAATGACCCTGAGACGGAGGTGCACAAGTGGATCAAAGATGGAGTGCCTTTGGGCATAGAACTACCCATCAAAACGTGCGGCATCTTTCCACCTACACTGAAGGGCGACGAGATACAGGAAGGAGGGGATGTCCAAGCAGCGCAGGGCTTGCGCGAGGACATTGGCAACTACACGTCGGTGGTGGAGCAGGAGGAGGACGCGAAGGTGGAGATCGACAGGCTTATCCATTGCGGGTACGCCATCAAGGTGAAGAAGGGAGAAGCAGAGAAGAAAGGCTTCCGAGGCACAACGATCTCCAAGCTGGGCCTCATCGTGAAAGTCAAGGAGAACGGCACCAAGAAAAGGAGGATCATCATAGATCTACGTCGGTCAGGGGGCAACAGAAAAGCAAAATTGCCCGAACGACTGGTGCTGCCTCGCCCGGCGGATGCAATAGCAATGCTGCGAAGGATGCATGCGGCGAATGGAGCGACGGTGAGACCGCAGGACAAGGTGATGGAACTGGTGATGATCGATGTGTCGGACGCTTACATGCACCTGGCAGTGGCAGAGGAGGAGAAGGGTCATTGCCTTGCGCCAGCCCTCGATGGAGACCACTGGCTGCTGTTCGTAGCCTTGCTGTTCGGCTACAAAACGGCCCCGCTGACTTGGAGCAGGGTGGCGGCTTTAGTGGCACGGCTGGTGCAATCGATAATACCAGCCGACAGAGGGATGCACCGGGTCTACCTGGACGACTCGCTATGGGCTTTGTGCGGGACTCTGGCATCGAGGAATAGCACCTTGGCTTGCATTCTCACCACAATGGCCGCCTTAGGACTGCGGCTGTCGCTGGCGAAGGGAGAACGGGCGGCCGCAGTGACTTGGATCGGAGTGAACTTCAAGTTGGTAGCACCGGATTACGACTACTTGCTGGTGACCCTGCCGGAGAAGTTCATGGATGAACTGCAAAAGCAACTGCAGAGTTGGGAAGGAAAGGGGATGATCGGGGGCACGGAACTTCGCAAAGCTGCAGGCCGGGTAGCTTGGCTAGCAGGGGTACTACCCAGAGCGAGGTGGGTGACAGCCTCCTTGTATGCAGCCCTCTACAGCCATGAGGAGGACGTCGCCGCAGGCAAGGAAGCAGAAAGGAGGGCACAACGGACGGACGGGCGGCAGAAGGACCACCTGATACCAGTCAAACGAGTGGAACGAGCTCGAGTTTGGCTGATAGCGTACTTGGCGGCAGCGAAGGAGCGGCCGATCAGGAAGTTCTGCCTCTACAAGAGTGGGAAAGCTGAGGTGACCATCATGACGGACGCCTCGCCTCAGGGGCTGGGAGCGATCCTCATCGTGAATGGCAGGGCGACGAAGGCACTGGCATCTCCCGTGGGGACCCTGGACGCGAAACTGTTGGGTTTTGCATTGGGAGAATCCAGCTCGCAAGGGCTAGTGGAGACTCTGGCCATCTTGGTCGCTCTCAAACACTGGGGCAAGCTCCTGACCACGGTGAGTGTCGCCGTGAACGTTCAGTCGGACAGCGTGACGGCGTTGGCGATGACTCAACGGTTCTCCAACTCTAGCCCGGGGCTCAACTTCCTGGGCGCAGAACTGGCAGTGGAATGCGAAGCCTTGGGCCTTGCTGACCTGAAGCCCATACACTTGCCAGGAACGGCCAACAAAGAAGCGGATTTCCTCTCAAGGCCAGACTGTTGGGCCACGACACCGTTGCCGGAGGCCCTAGCAGGTATCCAGATCGAAACGCCTGCTGAGCGGACGACAGAGTGGTACCGCTTGAGACCTCCAGGGCCGGACGAAGCAGACTGGCAAGGTTGAGAAGCTTTGTTGGCTGCCTGGGCAAACCGTTAATACGGCAGCCACACAGGCCAGTGAAAAACGGTGCTAGGGAAGGGGGAGGAAGGAAGGGTCGGGGGGAGGTTTGAACCCCGGAACCCGGTAGGTCGGCCGTTTTTGTCGTATGGGCAGTCTTTCGCAGGCTCAAAATGGAGGTGGCCCTGAGCCAACCGCCCCTAGACCCCCCTCTGCTGGTAGTAGAGGGCGGCTGGACACCCACATGGCTAGCCTGCTTAATTTTCTACCTCGTAGGCACCGGGACCCTGTGCCACATCGGAGCCTTCTACTACTGCGCGAAGGTGGTACGACACAAGTGGACGCAAGTTCGTCTTCCGCGGGATTCCCCATGGAGGTCTTGGTTGGCAGAAGACGAGAAAGAGGAGTCGGAGGACAACGCCGAGTGGGTGGAACCGTGGGACATGGACCGCGATTTGGATCAAGCCTGGACGCCACCTATCAACGACATGCCGGATGGAGAGCTGAGGTTGAGGCACAGGGACACCCTGAACAACACGAGGGCAGACACGTCGACACCAGAACAGTGGAGGAGTCTTTTTGGACAGGATGGCAACTCCTCCGAGAGATACACGTTCCCCACCGCCCTATTGGTCAGCGGAACTAGACTCACCAGGGGAGTTTTCCGCGGAGAGGACGACACCGGGGGAGTCTTCGAGGATGGCCTCACCACCGCTCAGGGAATCAGTGAGGGAATCTGGGGACATGGTATGGCTGGTGACGAGGAGGCTCAACACGAAGGACAACTGGCAGCTCTGAGAAGGGGAGATGAAGAAGAAGAAGAAGCAGGGCCATCGGACGAGGAGAGTTTTCCGTTTCCACCGCAACCACCAGATCTGGGGACGAGCTCAGTGTGGAACCCACTACTGGCAGGGGAGACCTTGATCGAGGAGGAAGCGAAGGAAGCAGGACTACTATGGTTCCTGAAGGGGGGGAGCCAAGAGGAAGAGAGAGGAAGAAGAGGCTCCGCGAGGTGGGAGCCTCGTCGAGGACGCATGGCAGCGAGTGGGAGATAATGGATCTCGAGGTGACGAAGGACGGAAAAGCCATGCGAAGAAAGGAATCACGAGGAAAAGGCATGATCTACCACGGCTACGGTCAAAAGGGCCCGGGGTGAAGGGAAACCAGAAACATAAGTGGAAGACAGCCATCCAGACAGCTCGGAACTTCAGGCTGAACAGGATCAAGAAGGATTCGGCGATGTCGGACTTCAGGAAAGAATACTACGCCAATTCGTCGAGGAGGGCAAGGGCATCGATCAGGAAGACGGTGGAAAAGATCCTGGAAAACCTGGGGCTGAGACACAAGGAACAAAGGTGGTCGTGCAACGCGATGGAACAATTGGGGACGGTGCTGAGGGACTCCGACTACAAGGCAGGGGTGGCCTATCTGACGGAGTACAAGCACATGTTGATCGAAGAAGGAGTACATTGGTCCCTCCTCCTGCAGAAGACCTTCGGCCAGGTGGCGAGGGCCATAAACCGGGCAAAGGGACCAGCGAAGAAGGCCGCAGAAGTGGAAGAAGAGAGATGGCAGGAAGCGTGCCGCCTGGAAACCAACGAGACAGCGAAGGGCGTGGTGCATAGGCCAGCCTTGATGTTCGCGGTAGCCACCGTATGGATGCTAAGGGAGGTGGAACTGGCAGCAATTCACAAGGAAGACATCCTCATTGATGACAAAGAGAAGCTGGTAACCTTGACCTTGAGGCTCACGAAGACGGATCAGGAAGGAAAGGGCATGAGGCGCACTTTACAATGCTGCTGCCAGGGAGATTGCGGATGGGAAGAAACTTGCCCTTTCATGATTACTAGAACCGCCCTGGACCACATCCCGATTGAGGAAGACAAATTGGTACATGGCGACAAGGAGGACGAGGTGACGAAGGGCCAAATTATTGAAGCCTGGCGGAAACTATTTGGAAGAAAGGTGTCGGGACACTCTGGAAGGAGATCAGGAGCCCTCCAATACATCCGCAGAGGGTGGCATGTGCCTCAAGTGGCTTATTTGGGAAGATGGAAATCCAATGTCATCTTGGAATACGCGGAGGAGGCCTTGGAGAGCATGCCAGTCAAAAGCAGAAAGGAACCACCGCCGGCGACTACCTCGTCCAACAAAGACCAAAGGGAGGAGGTGAAGAATGTGAACGTGACGAAGGTGAAAGAAATAACCAGAGAGATGGAGACAAGAATGAAACTCGAATTGGAGAAGCTGAAGGTCGCTCAAGACAAGTTGGAAGACTCTTTGGATAGGTGGGAAAAGATGTCCGCAAAGCACCAAGGCTTGCTTCCTCCCACCGTAATTTCGAAGAATGGCACCATCCACGAAAACAAGCGGCAACCGATTGCTTCACCGGTGACGAGCTGGCATACAAAATGCGGTTGGCCGTATGGGGCATCGAACTTTGCCTTCGGAACCGACCCGACGACTGTGACATGCCTGAAATGCATCACCATCGCGCCAGGCAATGAGGAAAGATTTGGCAATGGTGGAGCTTGAAATGAAGACAAAGGTTTC